GCTCAAGGCGAGCACTCTACCACTTGAGCTACAGCGCCACTTCCGGTTTTCTGGTGGTTTATTGGAGATAGGAGTCTCACGGTCTTTCCTGCTGGAGCTGGCTTTGAACCTTGATCCTCAGATCTCAGCCTCCTGAGTAGCTAGGATTACAGGCGTGAGCCACCAGCGCCCGGCTATTATTGGACTTCTTGATCCTTTAGTGTCCTCCCCTACCTCACCCCCACATCATCCCCTCCCATCTGCAGTAGGAAATACAGCATCTCTTCCCTACTTTTCCCTCTGAAAACCCTACAGCATACCAGAAACCACTTCTCCAAATCAATCCATCTCAACTCCTCTCTCTCTGTCCTTCTCCCCTCCTCCTCTCTCCCCCCCACCCCAATCTCTCTTTTTTCCTGGTTACCCAAGCATCCTGCCTCCCAGCCTAACTCATAACTGCTGCCCCCAGTCTTCCCTATTAGGTCTGCCAAGACACACAGCTATTTTTACCTCATTCTTTCGCAGGCCTTAGACCTCTACAGACCTGAGGAGGAGAAGCATCTGTTTTTCTCCAGAAGTGGAGGTCTCTCTCCCCCACCTCAGACATCTATGCCACAGCTCAGTTTGGCAACTCTGAACCCCACCCTACTCTACTTGCTGTTATCGTTTCCCTACCTCTGAGCTCCCTTCAGGATTGGAGCATTTAATTTTTCAGTTATTTCCGCAAAGGGTCTGCTCCACCCCCACCCCTTTCTCCATCTCCTCCTTTTTTTCTCTTTCTCTCTTCGGTTGTGGGACTTGAACTCTGGGCCTAGGAGCTGTCCCTCAACTCTGCAGCTCAAGGCAAGCACTTGAGCCAAAATGCCACTTCAAGTTTTTAGGTGGTTAATTAGAGATAAGAGTCTCAGGGGACGCTCCTGCCCAGGCTGGCTTTGAACCGTGATCCTCAGATCTCAGCCTCCTGAGTAGCTAGGATTACAGGCTTGAGCCACCGGTACCTGGCTTCCTCCTTTTTGAAGTGTTAGAAATCAAACCTAGGCTCTTGCCCATAGTAGGCAACTATTCTACCATTTGAGCCAAGCTTCCAGCTGTACGCCACTCTTCTGCCTCAATTCTTTGCCCCACTGGCCCTGGCTTAGTACACATACAGTCAAAGCCATGTTGTTATAGACACTCTCCCCAACCCACCCACCAACACACACACTTGCTATTATAGACCCCACCCTGCCCAGTGCTGGGAAGAGTGGGAACAAAGGGATGTCATGGGCCTTGGAAGAGAAGTCTTGTCTCCATCCATAACTGTCAGAATTTCTTTCTTTAGCACAAGGATGTTTACTTCCCAGGCTGAGAACTTTCCCAGGTTCTACAGTCTGGGACACCCATGGTCTTCATGGTAACCCTTTACTACCCTAGGCTCTGGAGAAAAGACAGAAGTGACTTGCTGCCCCACACATCTGGCTTGCACCCTTCCCTCATTTTCCACAGGGCCAGGCAGATTAAAAAGAAAATCTTGGGGCTGGGAAGGTGGCTCAGTGGTAGAGCACTTGCCTTGCATGCTCGAGGCCCTGGGTTTGATTCCTCAGCACCACGTAAGAAAAAAGCCGGAAGTGGCGCTGTGGCTCAAGTGGTAGAGTGCTAGCCTTGAGCTGAAGAGTTGAGGGACAGCACCCAGGCCCGGAGTTCAGGCCCCATGACCGGACCCCCCCCAAAAAAATAAATAAGAAAATCTTCACTTCCCCCCCATACATCCTACTACATGCAAGCAGTTAGGGTAAATGGATAAAGCTCTGGGTAAATATGTACTAATACGAAAAGCAAAGAGACTGGGTTGTTAGCTGAAATGGAAGAGCAGTTGCTAGGTAAGCCCTAGATTGAGTCCCAAGTACTACAAAATAAATATATGCACAGTTCTTTGTTCTGTCTTTAAAGACAGGGCTATATAACCCAGGCTGGCCATGAACTTGTGATCCTCCTACTTCTATCTGGCAAGTGCTGGAATTACAGGCATGAATCATTACACTCCCACCAAGAAGGAAAGCTTTGTAAAGACCCAGGGCTTTGTGGGAGAAAGGCCTGAGCAGTACGTGCAGGGGAAGTGGGAGGAGTGCCATTTCTGCCCTGACCAACCATCTCCTCACAGAGGTGCCACTTCATCACCTCTGTCTCTGTTCTTCCCAAACACCTGTCCCAATCTATATATCTCTCAGTTCCCTATGGAGAGACCAAGCCAAGGACCTCACCTCACCCCAGCGGATCACTAAAAACCAGCCTGACCAGGCCCCAGAGTGGTGGGCAAAACCACAGGGGGTGTAGGGCTTTTCCTTTTTCTTCCATTCTCTCAGAGACTAGAGTCCAAACTAACCACTAAAGCCCAGGATCCTGATCCTTGGGATAGGAACATTAGTCAGGCCTAGGACCATGGAAGGGGGCAAGGCTGGGCACATTCGGGCCCAGCCCTGAGCTTAGACTCACTCCTAATGGGATTAAAAAAGGGGAGTGGAAAGGAGCAGCAATACTGAGATTCCCAAATTTATTTGGGAGTCACGATACAAAAGTTACATTTGTATTCATTAGAGAAGAATGCAGGCAAAGGAAACAACTAGGTGCTAGGGGACTTGAGGAGGGGTAGAGGGGAGGGAGCCTAGGGTTCATCAGCCTCCTCTCTCCCACACTCTGCCTCTCCACACCATCTCCCCGGCCCCCTCCCCCGCAGGTTTGCGGGGGGGGGGGGGGGGGGGAGGGGGGGAAAGGAGAGGGTGGATACTAAAGACGGCGGCGGGGGCGCACGCGGGGGGGGGGGTGATTCACCGCGCCCAGACCCTGGGCCTCCCAGGAGGCTGTTCACCGCCGCGCCCCCGCACTCCTACCGCCCACGCCCACCCCTTCCTGTCCCACCCGCTTCCAGCAGGCCAAGGGCGCGGGGTGGGGTGCAGCGTGGGCTAACGTTGTCCCCAGGAACTTGGAAGTGCCTGGAGGCCCGGGGCTGATCCGAGGAAGGGGACAGGCGGGCGTGGGGAGCCGAGGCTGATGCGGGGGCGCGGGGATCGAGTGAGGTGGGCTGGCGGTCGCGTCCCTCGCCTGGCGCAGCCCCCGCGAGTGCGTTCCTGAGCCCTGAATCACCCGCTATATTGGGCCCGAAGCGCCGGAGGCCCCAAGTCCGGGCCTTGCCTCTAGTGTCCGCTTACAGCGGACCCGAACGGTCGCCAGGGACCCTCGGATGTTCCCTTGAAACTGCACCCCAATAGGAAAGCATCTGACAGAACCAAGTTGTGGTACAATCGGCTAAAAGCAGCGTTCCGGAGTCCAATCCCTTCACTCCCTCCAACCCCCCCCCAAAAGTTCCGCTTTTGAGTTAGAGGCCAGAGGGAGGGGCCTGGGCGGGGAAGCGCGGAGTGCAGCGCGCGCCCCCGGTGCGCTCCCCCAAGAATCCGCCGCGCCCCCACCCCGCACCCCAACCGAGTCGAGCTCTCCAAAAAGAGGGAGAGCCACGCAACGGAGTAGGGCTCTTCCCCTACCTCCGCCAAGCCCGGGGCGCCGGGGACCGGGGAAGATTGGGGCTGGGTGTCGGGGCCCTGGGCGCGGTCTGACCCGCAGCCTCACCTGGTAGATCATGACTTTAAAGTTGCGGCGCCGCAGCAGCTCGGCCTCGTTGACCTCCAGTTTCTTAATCTGGCCGGCCTGGCGCTCCAGGCTGCCGCGCACGGTCTTCACGTTGACGCTGACCTTGCGCACCTTCTCCAGCAATTTGCTCACGGTGTTACTGGTGGTGGCGTGCGCCTTGCCCAGCTTGCTCAGTTCGCCCTGGATGCTTTGCACCGCGCCCTCCATCTCCGCCTGCCGCTCCTCCAGCTGGGTTTGGGTCAGCTGGATCTGGTCGACGGCGCCGATGATTTTATCCAGGAGACTCAGTACCAGCACACCGTTCACCTGATCTGATTTGATCAGCTCTTCAGAGCCGGCCCCCGACGGCTCTTCGGTCGTCGGCGCCCCCACTGGAGAGGGCTCCGGACTTTCGGTGGCATCGGGGAACCCGGGAAACGGTCGCTCGACGATTTGGAGCGTGACGTCCTCCATGGCTTACTGGGAGCCGTGCAGGGAAGCGGCTGGCTGAGTGGAGCGGGAGATCGGGAGAGAAGAAGGAGTGAGAGTGGGAGAAGAGCGAGCGAGCGTGCGGAGAGCTGGAGGAAACTCGAGCCACGTCCGTGCGCACCAGGACTGCGGCCAGAACTGTGGAGCGGGAGGGGGGGGCGGGATTCGCGCACAACCCAGCTCCCAGGCCAAACCTGTCTCGTTGCTCATTGGCTGGCCCCATCCCAGAAAGGGAGGGATCGGGGCAGAAGGGGGAGACCGGAGGGGGGGGGACCCAAGAGCCGAGCGCCCCACCCAGCCCTGGATGGTTGGAATAGTTGGATCGCGAGACTGGGGGGGGGCGGGGGGGGCTGTTAGTGGAGGCGGCGGCCGGAGCGGGACTGGGGCTGAGGAATGTGAGCCTGAGAAAGGGATCAAGTCCTCAGAGTGTGCTCTACTTTTCCTCTTCCCTTTTCCTCACTCCTCTGCAGACCCACTTCAACCTCTTAAAAGTTCTACAAAGCAGCGAGTCAGGTGGACCGTGAGAGTCTGAATTACACCCAGGCGAAATGTGGCCTTAGCAGCTGCCTGAAGGGCCACCTTCCTGGCAATCTTTTTCAAAGCGGCCTCTGACTCCCTTTCCTCTTGGCCCACGCCGGACTCAAAGTTAGCCAACCCTTAGCCTACGCGAGTTTGAAGGGTGGTGTGTGGAAAAGAAGAGAGGAGTGAAATTGTCACAGAACTCGTGAGGGGCTGCAAAGCTCCTCGCCAATGCTCTGCTCCTTAAAAACTGGCCTCAGAAGGAGAATTAGAATAGGTAATAATGAGAGTTGCCAGGTGCCAGTGTCTTGCGCCTGTAATCCTAGTTACTCAGGAGGCCGAGATCTGAGGATCACGGTTCAAAGCCTGGGAAAGTCCGTGAGACTCTTATCTCCAGTAAATCACTCCGAAAACTGGAAGTGGCGCTGTGGCTCAAGTGGTAGAGTGCTATCCTTGAGCTGCAGAGCTGAGGGACAATGCCCAGGCCCACTGTTCAAGCCCTAAGATTAGAAAAAAAGAAAAAAAAGGAAAAGAGTTTTGACTTATCTCTCACCTGTCTAAAAAATCGCCTCCCTCTATGTTCCTCTAGCTGACAATAAACTCAAGAGAATAAGATGTATGTGTTATGTCCATTTTCCTCTGTACATCCCAGAGACTACCAGTAAGCAATCAGGGAAATCATGGATTCTCTATGTTTCTGTCTGTCTCTCTCCCTCTCCCTCTCTCTCCCTCTTTCTTTGTGTTTATCCTGGGGCTTGAACTCAGGGCTTGGGCACTGTCCCTAAGCTTTTGCTCAAAGCTAGTGTCCTACCACTTGAGCCACAGCTCTACTTCCAGCTTTTGAGGAGTAGTTTATTGGAGATAAGACTCTCCTGGACTTTCCTGCTTGGGCTGGCTTTGAACTGTGATCCTCAGATCTCAGTATCCTGAGTAACTAGAGCCACAAGCATCTGGCAGATTCTCCTATCTTTATTTGACAGACAAGAAAAAGAAAGGCAGGGCTGGGAAGTTGGCTCAGTGGTAGAGCGCTCGCCTTGCATGCCTGAGGCCCTGGGTTCGATTCCTCAGCATCACATAAGCAAAAAGAAAAAAGCTGCAAGTGGTGCTGTGGCTCAAGTGGTAGGGCACTAGCCTTGAGCTGAAGAGCTGAGGGACAGTGCTCAGGCCCAGAGTTCAGGCCCCACAACCGGAAAAAAAAAGAAAAGAAAAAGAAAGGCAGGTAAGAGGCCATATTGGCTTGCACTTAAACTCAAGCCTGTGTGCTTCTGGTCCTTCCCCCTCCCTTGTTTTTTTGTACTGGGGCTTGAACTCAGGGCTTTGAGTTTGCTTGGCTTTTGATTTTTTCACTTAAGGCTGATGCTCTACCTCTTGAACCACACCTCCACTCCTGGTTTTTGCTCTTAATTGACTTTTTTTTTGCCCAGGATGGCCTTGAACTGAGTGTCTCATAACTTAGTCTCTTGACTAGTTAGGATTACAGGTGACACTACTACCAGCACCTGGCTCTTTTGCTCGCCCTTCCTTCCTTCCTTCCTCCCTCCCTCCCTCCCTCTGTCCCTTCTTTCTTCTTTCTCTTTCTTTCTTTCTTTCTTTCTTTCGTTCTTTCTTTCTGTGTGTGTGTGTGTCTGTCTGTTGTGTGGTTTGAATTCTGGGCCTGGGCATTGTCCCTGAGCTCTTCACTCAAGGTAAGCGCTCTATCATAGAACCACAGCACTACTTCCAGTTTTCTGGTGGTTTATTGGAGATAAGAGTCTCATGTATTTTCCTCCGTGGGCTGGCTCTGAACCTCGATCCTCAGATCTCAGCCTTCTGAGTAGCTATGGTTACAGGTGTGAGCCATCAACACCTGGCCCTCTTTTGCTTTTTCTACCTTTGCATTTTGAACCTTTTATTGGGACAGGGAGATGGATGCTGTCTTTTTAGTATGTTGGCTGGAAGATTAATTGTTTTATTCATGGCAGGTACAAAGGAGCAAGCAGTTCTTAAAGGCCTAAGAAGGTTCCTTAGGACAGAGTTCTGGAGGCAAGGGTTGTCCTGTTCCCACATCTGTCCCTCAGCATGTCAGAGTTTCTGGAGCCACTCCAGCTCCCTTTCCCACAGAAAGGCTGCAAACCTTTTCCCTGCTTGAGAAACCAGGCTTGGGTTTCCCCAGCAGGATGGATGATGAGCTCGGCAAAAGGTCACTTCTAGCCTGCATCTACTACCATTATGAAGCATGAAAGCCTGTTCTATGGAAGACCCAGAGAAGCCACCAATCCAAAAATCTTCATAAAGTTCCATTAAAAAAAACTGATTAGAAAGCCAAATACCAGTGGCTCATGCCTATAATCGTAGCTACTCAAGAGGCTAAGATTCAAGAAACAAGGTTTGAAACCAACCCAGGCAGGAAAGTCTGTGAGACTCTTATCTTCAATTAATCAGCAAAATGTTTAATGAGGACCTGTGGCTCAAGTGGTAGAGTGCTAGCCTTGAGCAAAAGAAACTCAGGGACAGTGCCCAGGCTCTGAGTTCAAGCCCAGAACTGGCACAAAAAAATAGAAATAAAAAATGATATTTATTTGCCAGTTCTTGGGCTTAAACTCGGCCTGGACACTATCTTTGAGCAAATGAGCTTCTCAAGGCTAGCGCTGTAACCACTTGAGCCATAGTACCACTTCCAGCTTTTTTTTTTTTTTTTTTATCTGTTATGGGCCTGGGAACCCAGGGCCTGGGAACTGTCCCTGAGCCTCTTTGTGCTCAAGGCTAGTGTTCTACCACTTGAGCCACAGCCCCACTTCTAGGTTTTGAGTGGTTAATTGGAGATAAGAGTCTCAGGGACTTTTCTGCCTAAGCAAGCTTCAAACCACAATCCTCAGGTCTTAGCCTCCTAAGTAGTAAGGTTTACAGGCTTGAGCCACCGGCACCCACCTCACTTCCAGATTTTTCTTAGTAATTTACTGGAGATAGGAGTCTCATCAGCTGAGATTATAGCTTAGGCAGGACTAGCATGCATGAAGCCCTGGGTTCAATTGCTCAGCACCACATAAACAGAAAAAGCCAGAAGTGGCACCGTGGCTCAAGTGGTAGAGTGCTAGCCTTGAGCAAAAGAATCTCAGGGACGGTGACCAGGCCCTGAGTTCAAGCCTCAGAACTGGCAAAAAAAAAAAAAAAATCTCATGGTCTTTCCTGCTTGGGCTGGCTTCAAACCAGGATTACAAGTGTGAGCCACCAGCACCTGGCCAAAAAAAAAAAAACAACTAAAAATTGACATGTAAGGTATAGTACACAAGTAAGTAGTACACAAGTAAATAGTACGCAAATAAATATAGTAAAAAGAAGTTTCATTTTTCTGCACAAATAACTAGGTTCCTTCTCTCCCCAGACACCATGGTCATTATTTCCTTGTGGAATCTTCTATAGAAAATTTCTGTACATTTGATTATATATTTAAAATCATATATATGAGCACTTTTCTTTTTCCATTTTTTATTATTAGTTACTAATAAATACATCTTTGAGGTTGTTCCAGGTCACCTGACTTATTTCCCATTGTATGAATGCGCTAAACCTATTTATAAATAGTTCTCTATTAGTGGACATTTACAGATGACAGGTTTTTATTTTGTTTGTTTTTGTTTTGGTTGGTTGTGGGGCTTGAACTCTGGGCCTGGGCGACTCAGTGCCTCATGCATGCAAGGCAAGCATTCTACCACTGAGCCACCTTCCCAGCCCCACAGATGACAGGTTTTTTTTTGGGGGGGGGTCCAGTAGTGGGTCCTGAACTCTGGGCCTGGGCGCTGTCCCTCAGCTCTTCAGCTCAAGGCTAGCGCTCTACCACTTGAGCCACAGCGCCACTTCTGGCTTTTTTCTTTTTG